TGGGGGGGTTAAGGGATAAAGATGGGTTTTATAAAGTGACAAAACAGCACAGGAACCCACTTTGAACATGTTTAAAAAAATAATTTTCTCAACAGTAAGGCAAAACTGGTTAACTAAAACCAGTATCACCTTAAAATGAAATATCTGTTCATCAGAAAATAAACAGTTTCTTTTAGCTTTAGGAGGTGAAGGTTGCATCTAGAGACTCAAGGACTTGGGTTGTAAAAATTTTCTAACTTCAACAACACTGAAGAGAATAAAAAGTTTTATTACTCCTGCTCTAGGATTTACATAATCCTTACGTAACTATCCAAATATGTTCCTGTAGTATCAACTTTGTTTTTTCATATACAGATAATTATATTCATAATTTTATTTCTAATTTTTATTCATATTTTAAACCCTGATTTTCAGCAAACTTTAAACAGCTCTAAATGCACACTTGAAAAAAAATTTTTTGTAGTCAAGTAAGACTCTGGGAGAATTTATCAAGAAAAATGGAGTTTTAGGTTCTCATATACTTAAATTTATACTGCAACTTTCATGCCAAAAACAACAAAGTGCTTTTTATAAATTGACACCATCCCCCAATATTTACCTGTAATCCCTACCTGTATTCTCTAAACAAAAATAGACTAAATCGAGTCCTAACCTTTAGCTTCAAAAGCACTGTTGTAACTATTTTAAAAGATTTTTAAATTTTTTTTTAATTCGGGGGGGGGGAGGGTAGAGAAAGGGAGAGAGCGAATCCCAAGCATACTCCCCACCTCTGTTAGCGCACAGCCCAACACAAGGTTCAAACTCACAAACCCTGAGATCATGACCAGAGCAGAAATCAAGACGCGTAACTGAGCCACCCAGGCAGCCCTGTTATTATATTTTAAATAAAACAGTAATTAACATTTCAATGTAGACATCCCACCCAACCAAAATGATAGAGTATTTCCTTAACTTACAGGGTTTTTCACAAATGAAGTAATTTTCTGATGAGGTTTCTAACTCAGGTTTTTGTTTTTTGTTTTTTTAAGTTTATTTATTTTGAGAGAGAGAGCACATACAGGGGGAGGAGTAGAGAGAGAGGCTACCAAGCAGGCTCCACACTGATAGCATGGAACCCGAGGCAGGGCCCGAACCCACGAACGGTGAAGCCAAAACCAAGAGTTGGACACTTAACCGACTGAGCCACCCAGGCGCCCCAATTGCTAATTCGTGTGCAACACAATTTTATGCTTTTCTACTATTATAGGATTCCATGGAAACTGCTACTCTTAAAGTAAAATTCAGATTTTTAAGACTCTGCTGGACTCCACTATAAACAGAACACTTACTTAAGACCACAATAAAGCAGTCCCATAAATTAAGGGACTAATTTAATAAATAGTGCAAAACAAAATGCAAAGTGCCACCATTAAAATAGGTTTTTAAAATGTGGTAGAAAAACAGGAAGATTATATTAAATGAAAATAGAACACAAACTCTTACGTACTGTTTCATTGCAAATATGTCAAAAAGGTCTGTAAGAAAGTTACCCTAAGGTGGTATGATGTATGATAAGAAACCACTACTGTTCCTGAATATTGGTCGGATTTTTAAAAATTACATAATAAACCCATAAAAACCCATAAAATACCTTCCACGATACATTCCTTATAATGAACGCAATTTGCTTTACTTGTCTAATGGCTTAAGTTTTTATCAGTAATCTTTCTACTTTCTGAACGAAACATGACCTGCTTTTTCTTAACAGTTTTATTTAGATATAACTGACATATAAACACAGTGCACATTTTCTTAAGTTTATTTATTTTGAGAGACAAGCACGCACAAGTGGGGCAGGGCAGAGAGAGAGACAGAGACAGAGACAGACAGAAACAGAGGAGAGAATCCCAGGCAGGCTATGCACTGTTAACAAGCGATGTGAGATCACAACCTGAGCCAAAATCAAGAGTCAGGACACTTAACCGACCGACTGAGCCACCCAGGTGCCCCTAAACTGCACATATTTAAAATATAACCTCTTTGCAACTCTGGTCATAGGCAGAAACCAGGAAACAATTACCCAAATCAAGATAATGAATATATCCATGATGCCCAAAGGTTGCCACAAACTTCGTTTGAATTCCTCCCTCCCATTCCTCTCTACTCCCCTACTTTGGTCACGAGGCAACCACAGATCAGCTTTCTGTCACTATGGATTAATCTACCTTTTCTAGAATTTAATATGAATGAATCTTACATACATATACACGCAGGTTTTTTTGCGAGCTTCTTTCACTTGGCAACATTAAGATTCATCCATGTGACTGACTCCACCAATATTTCATTCCTTTTTTACTGCTAATATTTCATAATATCCATACACCACAATTTGTTTATCCTTTCATCCAATGGACAAAGGTGGTTTCCAGTTTGGGGCTATTAAAAACAAAGCCGCAAAGAGAACGCTCAGGTACAAGTCGTTGTGTAGACCTATTTCATTACTCTTGGGAAAGTGCCCATTAGTGAATGGCTTGGACACACAGTATGTGTATATATAACCTTTTTAGAAAATTGGTATGGGGACGCCTGGGTGGCGCAGTCGGTTAAGCGTCCGACTTCA